CCAACTGAATGGAACATGAGGGCTGGAACACTGCCAGGTTGCCCAAGCCTAGACAGGGGAAGTCGAGTGGCAGAGGTCGGGTTCGAACCACGGACCTTCCGGTCAGTAAATTCGTGCTCTAACCACTTGGTCCACCTCGCCCCTTCTCACTTCCACAAGAAGATATGATTGAAATGAACGTTTCAAGTTCGAACAAGAGATGGCAAACCAGATCTTATCAGATCACATGACCTTCGACGCAAGAAAGAGCAAGCGATTGTTCATCTCTTGTTCAGTGTGAGCACAATAACGGGGTTATGTATAACGAATTCACGAGCCTTTGTCTGAGGGGACCGCCTGCTCATCCTATGAATAAAGGATACTGAGCGGGATTCTACCTGCTCTACATCAACCGCAATCAAAGTACACCGTCATGTCGATCAGACAAACTGGGATTGTGCATGCAGTGTGTCGGTGAACAGCGCTCGAATGTGTGACCGCGTAACTTTTCTTTTCCACTTCACTTATTCAAACCTTTGAGCTGGTCATCATTGCCGCATGCTAAAAGTCACACCAAAGGCTTACCGATGACAAGCAGAGATATGTGTACTTTAGAAATATGCGGAAGATCATTCAACGTTCATTTTCGCCCGCTTACTAGAGTTCTCTTCCGGCAATGGTCCTTCTTGCATAGCATGGGACTGCGAGTTACTTGGGAAAAGCATCTTTGGAGGTAGTCACCCTTTCGGTGCCTAGCTTCCACCAAAAGGAAGCATGAGAGCTTGGATACTGACGGGTTGCCCAAGACTAGACAGGGGAAGTCGAGAGGCAGATTCCGGGTTCGAACCACGAAACTTCCGGTCAGTAGATTCGCGCTCTGACCACTTGAGCCATCTCGCTCCCCCCTCCACACACACAACGCACCCCATGTCCACTTGTATTGATCTACAAAAGTTCATTTGGTCAAAATAAACAAACTGTTTTTGTGACAAAACTCTCCATTTACCTGACGAGTTTCCACTTGAAAGCCAGACATGACACCTCTCATCCTTCAATTAAGAGATCAACCACTTACGGATGAACAGTGGTTTCCAACCCCTGGCTGGGAGGTTGCGAGTTCCGTTCACTCTCTCCCTCTCTCTAGATGTCCATGAGTTGCGCACTGCCGGTGAATCCCAGTAAGGATGAAACAGCTGTAGAGTGCCTCGCAGCTTTTCAACATCCACAGAATGGCTTCGCTTACAGGATAAAAGCCCAATTGAAGTCAAACCATCCGTTCCTAGTGGCGTTTCTTACCATTCAAATAAACTTGAAGCCTCCCGCGCTGAAGGTTAGTTCCGGATACTGCCCCACACTGTCTCGCTTTAAGCAATGCATCAATGTTCATTCCGCATTTCTTCAATTATGGCCACGCGAAAACTGATAAGTTCTGCTTCATGCATAAGATGATAGCATGGTGAGAACGAAAACTCTGTTAGAGCAGAACCGCCGAACAGTTCAAAGGATTTCGAATGAATCGCACTGGTGAAGTTCAACGCCCTCAGAATTGAGACACTGTTATTCTCGTTTGAGACAACCGCTTTGGAACACGTGAAATGCGCATCTATAGTGCTTACAGGTGTTTAACTGGTTGTCTTAAGTTTATCCAGAAAACGTGCACGAAAGGAGACGTTGCTGTACACAGGTTGTACACACAAAGCTTACCAGACACCTGGTTTGAATAGCTATCCGCATCAGTGCACTTGTCCAAGAGGTGTTAGTACGAATGTAACTTTCTGGGGAAGGGCGTGATAAAACCTGGACACTAGACAGAAAAAAGGTACACTCACAATTGTTTAAACGGGCCGGCGTAAAAAAACCGCAAAAGGGAGACTTCTTCTGTCTGGGTTTGGAATGAACACCCCCCCCCGTGGGAATGCTGCAACCAACACCGGCAGAGTAGTATTGCCAGGGTAGTTTCCCCTCCAAATTAGCTAGAGATGCATACCGAATGGTATCGGGGCATCTCAGTGGGAGGCGAGATGGCTCAGTGGTTGGAGCGCGAATTTACTGACGGGAGGGTGGTGATTCTGCCTCTCGACTTCCCCTGTCTAGGCTTGGGCAACCTGGCAGTGTCCAAGCCCTCGCTCTTCCTTCGGTATGGCAGTTGGGCACCGAAAGGGTATTACCGCTAAACGATCTCGGTGGGATCTTTTGTTTTCAGCAATCAGGGTTCGACTCTCCATATTTCAGTTGCTAGGCCTCTGTATCGAGGTACCATTTCATCCCTAAAGACGTAGAATGTGTACCGAAAGTTGAAGAAATAGTCCAATCACTGCCAAACGTTTACGATCATTCGTCAACGTGGTTCAAAATTTTTCACATGAGTCTTGGCAAACGGAAGACCAGAGCGATACATTCAATCACAAACTTATCGGTTGTGCGTGTAACCTCCAGACAATCAATTATTCGGGTAGGAACAGTATTTTAAAGGATACTTAGTTGTCAACAACTTCCATTAAAGTAGACTGCCCTTCCGTGATCTCTCGGTGCGGTTTCCTTGGGTATAATCTGGTTGCGTACGTTAGAAACCACGTGTGTGTACGTGTGCGAAGCATCTGTTAGGATTTCATACGTGTGCATCTGTCTGGTCCGTGCCTGCCAAACGAGGGACGAACTGGTTTCGCTCTTATTGGAGCTCATCAGTGGTTCATATCACTGGCTGTAGCTGGGGTTGACCTCCGGACATCGGGCACATGAGGTGCCAACGTGTTTACTCCTGACTCATGTGATTAGTGGTACCACACCCAAAACCATACGCCAGGAGTTCAAATCTCTGCGCTGTTGAGTATTTCCAGTAAGAACGAGACTTATCGATTCATATGCGGATTCACTAGAATAATCGCTCTAGATTAGGATGAATACTTTTCAAACGTGATTGGTGTGAGTACACTTTGTACAAATCTAGCAAACGCAGAAATAATCAATAACATTTGATGGCCGGCACCCACGTGACCAAGAATCAACGCAATGGAATTTCGTGAACATTGCTATAGCGTAAGTGCATGCACGAATTCGTTATGAGGCACTGTGGTGATTCACGCGCCACAACCTTAAATTCACTCAACTTTGCTTCCAGAAAAAAGACTAATTTTGGCATTGCAACATCTACCGGTTGGTTGGAGGGCGAATCTACTGACCGGAAGGTCCATGGTTGAACCCAACCTCTGCCACTCGACTTCCCTTGTCTAAGCTGGGGCAACTTGGTAGTATCCCAGCCCTCGTGCCTCCTTCGTGTGCATTGGGGGTTCAACAGGCTTGGTATGGCTGTACCACAGGCCGAGAACTTCTCGATTGGGTTCGCTCGATTCAGGCTCTGTAACCGAAAACGAAGTTGGTAGTAGCCGAAAACTGCGCCATATGGGGAACACCAATGTGAGCAAGAATATGCATTATGTTACAAAAGAGACACCGGGACTGTAACGAATTTATTACTTTAGACTTGCAAGTAGTGTGGTAGGTGCGAGAAGAGTAAAGTGGAAGAGAGTTGGCAGTCACTGAGGTTAAGACTGACGGGTTCTAAGTTGTGTGTGTGCGTGTGGAGAAGGCAGTAGAAATTAGTCCTGAAAACATGACATTGTCTGCCCGCAGAGGAATTAATCCTGAAAACATGACATTGTAAGCCCGCAGTCCTTTTACACAAGAAAAGCTACCCGGGACAACGGTTCCTCCGTTTCCCACTCATGTACGTGTGTGGGACCAGTTCAACAGATGACCAAGGTCTCAAAAGCCTCATCCCCACTGATGGAGGGGGTATTCGAGATCGAAACCAAGTCGCAGGCAATCCAAAGGGAACAAATTTGGACATAGTACTTCTTTATGGTAGGAGTACTTTCAGCGCTTTGTACTTTACGCAGCAACCCACCTAAGCTCACAGTAGCTTAGTAAACCAAGCTGCAATAGGATACAGGGCAATGTCGTTAGCACTACTGAGACGGTGGCACTGCAGGAAGGCTCACCCATTCTGAGTTACCCTATCTGGCTCACGCTTCAACTACGGAAGGACCGAGGTATGTGTTTTAATAGACCTTTCCTTGTAATTTTACCAGAAACTTATTCAGGTTTTCTTCAATCGGTTTACCTTTACTAGCTACCCTGTGAACAGTTAAC